ACAAGCCCCGACCTAAGAAGAAAGCGAAGAGCAAGGTGTCTGATACCGATGAGGAATCGGTCGAAATCACTGGCTATGTCCACGTTATGAAGCCACCGCCACCCACAGTACCCAGATCTCGCTCAAAACCAAAGCCCGAATCTCTCTATATTCAGCGTGGCCCGTTCAAGTTCCTATCCACCTGTAGCTATGAATCCTTCCTTACCACCCTCTCCAATACGCTCCCATGCCCCGTTGTGAACCTCGTTCAAGATAAAATTCAGTGGAAGCCACAGACCCCAGCAAACCGCAGCGCACTTCCTCTTGGCGGGGAGGTTGGCTTTAGTGTCATGTTAGACCAAATATCTCGCTCCAAGGACCACATTGTTATCCTCTCCATGCCAGGCCCCAAGAAACCGGCAGAGGACGCTCCAGTAATGCCTCTCTCTTTGAATATGTGCGCAAATCTAATGTCCTAATTTTAGTTTTGGGCTACCGACAACGACGTTCCGGACGCCGGCACCAGCACAGGCCCATCAACGTCTGGGTCCCATCCCGAGAAGGATTTCGATTTCGCTGAGTTGGAAGCTAATAATGCCGAAGAATCGGTAGAGCAACAGAAGGTGAGTCTAAACTCCGTTGATACCGGCACGGGGCACTCAAGATTGCACAGATGTCATTCGACAAAGCCGTGGCCCCCAAAATCGAGGAGCTGAAGGAGCGATGGCCCCTGGACGACCACCAAAAGCGGATTTATACCGATGACAAAGGCTTTCAATGGGAACTCACGCCGATCCGTCTAAATGTTTGGGGGGCTCATCTGGTGCGTCATTTGAACCGTGACTGTCCCCTAATCTGAAACAGCTCTCGTTTATCTAGGCTCGGGGGACAGCTACGATCGACAAGGCACCTGTTTCGGCCCAATTCGATATCAAAAATCGCATCAAAAACACCAACCGTACAGTCTCAGCGATGATCCCCACGCCGACACCTTCCCTTGCTCATGTACCCAATACCCCTGCCCAGCCCTCGACGTCCGAACGGCTCCTCGAAATGCTTGCCCTTACAATGCTCCAACAGCAATCGCAGCAGCACCCTCAAGTGCCCATCCCAAATCTGCCGCCACTTCCCCATCCCAGCATCCCATCCGCTCCACCATCTCCCGAAAAACTTCGACATCGTGATGTCTCGCTTGAGGAATTCTGCGCATACTACAAGATCATGCCACACTTGGAAAAGCTCCAAAAGCTGGAGTACGAGCCGGGCGACGAGGGCATCAAAAAATTGCAACGCGACGAATGGGGTGGAAGAGTCGGGTTCGCTGAATTGACATGGGAGAAGATTCTTGATAAGCATCGTCGTTTCATGGCCGATGCTAGGGCTGGTTTGTGGGCGTAATCGTGTTATCATTGCTTTCAAATTCTACGTATGTTATGTTGTGTTGTTGTGTTCCCGAAGAATTACTATCTTGTTACAACTGCTCCTCGTCGTCATTTACAATATATCCGGCATGCCGAAACCATCCCCGAGCCTTCTCCGGAGTTATGCAGCCCGTTGACTCCAGCAGAATCAAGACTGGATCTTCCGCACTCCTGATGGAGTGGCCGTTCGCGCGAAGGTGTGCTTTCCCTGTGGAGTGGATTGTAAATTTTGGCATGAGTGATCCAAGCATGACGGACGACGTACAGGTACTAAATGACTCCTCAATGGGGTTGAGATCTGGCGAGTACGGCGGGAGATACAGCAACATGATACCTGTGATCAAAAGTCAGGACTTTATAGCGTTCTCACAGTAAAAAACAAGCCTTGTGCGTTCAGAACTTCTTGAAGGGTCTCGGTGTGGTGGATACGGCAGTTGTCCATGACAAGAACACTGCGGTCATCTGGAAAGACGCCCATCTCCGGCACCTAAAAAGTGATAAGTCCCGAGGACAACTTGGTATGATAAGAATAAAACTCACAACATCTTCCACAATGAAATCAAAGAAATCAAAAGAGTCTAGGGATCCCTCAAACACCCTCTGCGCTATATAGCCATCAATACCCATGGCCGCCACCAAAGTGTACCGCACGCCTCGTATAAAGAAATCTTCGTAATCAGCAGGCAGACCGATGGGGGCGCGGCCATAGCGACGAGCAACGTCATGCTCATTCTTGCTCGACTCGTCCACAGTAACGAATTCACGGCCCGTGCCTGAGAAGCTATTTTGGATTGTGTAAAGATAGTCGCGGCGGCGTTCGATGTCACGTTCGACGGCGATCTTGTGGAGCAGTTTGTAGGTAAGCCCAACCTTCTCCAGAGTGTCCTGTAGGGCGGAGACGGAAATATGAATGTCGTGATGGATGAGGAGCCACCACTGTAGCTCGACAAGGTAGGTTTCTGGATGTTTTGTGTATATCTCTTTGATAGCTGTCAACGCCGCGAGACCGATGATTCGAGGTCGGCCCATGATGGGAGGGGGTGGCGGGATGACGGAGCCAAATTCTTCAAAGATCTTCGCCCATCGGTAGATGCTAGACTGTGATACAAGTAGAGTCGAGCAGACCGCAGATCGGTCCCAACCAAGCTCCCACAAGCGAAGCGCGCACTCCTTGATGTCGGCACTGATGCGTCGGTTGCCCATGGACGGACGAAGATCGGGTAGCGATGTGGGAGACGAAGAAAGAGAGGCTGACGAGAGCAATCAATTATTTCTATTTTAGGAATTTCCGCATACGTCATGCGCCGAAAAAAAGTTGTCATTCTCATTACTTTCAGGATCAGCTGTAATGTCGGACGTCGCTCAACAGAACTTCTCAGCGACACATGTACGTACGATCCGAACGACACAGAAGATCAAAAAAATTTCACAATTTCAATTCGCCGCTCATCGTACACGATACACGATATGAAGAAACAGAAAAACCGAGCGCGCGCTGACATCAGCTGTTGGCCTCGGTCTGGAGCTTGCCGGCGGCCTCCTTCGCGTTGCCTGTGAGGAGCGTCAATGGAAGGTGAGGAAGGAGGAGGAGAGACGACGGGAAGACGAGGAAACAGCGCAGCGAAGAAGCGGAACCGGCGGGGGAGAAGCGAAGAGGAGGGTGGAGCGCAACATGAGGCCGCGGAGGTGGAGAAGGCGGGGAGCGACAGCGCGCGGGAGGGAAGCAGCGAAGGGAAGCGCAGAAGATGAAAATTTCGGGGAAGAGGCGAAGAAGAGGCGTGGAGCGCGGGAAGCAGGAAAAGAAGGAGATGGAGACAAGTAGTACGTACCCTTCGCCTGCTTCGCCTCGTCGCCCGTCACCGCGCCGACGACCGCGTCGAACTTGCCCTCAACGCGGTCCGCGGTGCCCTCAACGTAGCCTTTCGCCTGCGCGGCCTTGTACTCCGCCTCGCCCTGCGCGAAGTTATCAGCACCGCACAAAAAGGAAGGAGAAAGGACGGAGATGGGGGCGCAAACTGACCGCCGCGTGCTCCTCCTTGCCGCTCTGCTGCCACGACGTCGCGCCGGTGAGGTTGCCGATCTGCGCGAGCGCGTCAGTAAGCCAGCGGGGACGCGAAGACGGGGAGGGGAGCGAGCGCCAGCAAGAGGAGGGGCACGCACCGCCTCGACGACCGTGCCCTTGGTGCTGTGGAACTGGCCGGTCGTCTTGCTATAACACACGGTCAGCACGCAGCACAGCGACGTGCATAGACGCGTACCTGGCACCGTCGGACGACATTGTATGGATGGATGGGTGGGTGGGTGGGGTGGTAAAGGTAGAGGTAAAGGCAAAGGTGGGCGAGATGGTGGTGGTTGGGGATAAAGGTGCGATGGGGACGAGCAGAAGTGGCCCGCCCTTTATACGATTCCTGGGTGATGACGCGCCGTCGTTTAATTAACGCAGGTGGCAGCGGGATGAGGTCATGGCGCGGATGTGATCGGGCGGACGTAAAATCTGGCCTACGTAGACCGATCGGGAAAAGGAGTTGCCCGATTGGGAACTGGGAACGGGCAAGCGGGCACCTCGGGAGGCGTCGCTCCACCACCTGCTAGCATAATTCGGTTGGCAAGCTACGGATGAAGGCCCAGTAGCGGATGGTCCGCGCCTGCTTCTAATTATTCTTTCCCGCGAGATTCTAAATGCAGGAATCGCTCGTTCGATTCGAGCCTGGGCCTTATTTGGGGCAGTGGATTTGCCTCTTCTTTTTCCCCGAAGTCCTCGGCCTTGTGGACGTTGCACAGAGTCAGGCCTTTTTGCTTTGGGGGAAATGGCACTAGAATTCCACCCTCGGGTTACCCGAGCTTGAGCCCAGCCCTGTCAGTCTGTTTCTGGCGTGAGATGCCGCTCTGATTTTTTCCTGCAGTGAACTGAAGTCAATCAGAACTAGGTGTGCGGACTATGAAAAAAGGCCCAGTAGCGGATGGTCCGCGTCTGCTTCTAATGCTGTTCCATACATCCTCCTGAACGCAGGAGCCGCTTGTTCGAATCGAGCCTGGGCCTTGATGGTTAGCCGTGCTTTTTCCTCCCAAGTTCTCCTGCCTAGCCTAGGCGTGGACAAAACAAGACGCAATTTTCTTCTCTATTTTTCGTTGGGGTTAATGGCACTAGAACCTTACACTTGGTTGCTCGTGTTGTAAAATAGACTTCACACGCGCCTCTGAGATTCAATTTTATCACTCTCTTCTCGCCATGCGATCTCAAGCGAACACCAGTAATCAAGGTTCATTAAATATGGATAAAGGCCCAGTGGCGGATGGTCCGCGCCTGCTTCTAATGATTGTTCTCAATTGCATTCTCACCGCAGAAGGCGCTCGTTCGAATCGAGCCTGGGCCTTATCATGACGGCATTCTTTCTTTTGGTCGGCAGTCATCCTGCCTACTCGTGGATAATGCAATGCACGAACTCCCTCCTTGGGGTTGATAACTGAATCCCCTTCCACTGCACTCGTTAGCTGAGCTTGCCCCGATCCCATATACGCTCCACGCGCCGCTGAGATTCCTCGTTCGCCGTGTGAGCTGAATTGAGCACTAGTTAGCTAGGCTCACAGGCTACGGATGAAGGCTCAGTAGCGGATGGTCCGCGCCTGCCCCCCTGGGTTGCACTCGAGAAGTCCCGAGCGCATGAATCGCTCGTTCGAATCGAGCCTGGGCCATGACTGGACGAGGGTTTTCTTTTTCTTTTTTCCCCTGCCGCTGCTTGAACAGTGCAGGTATCATGTCTGCGTGAATCCTGAGGAACTTATGGCTGGACCCGAGAGAGAGCAGTAAGTGGGAATCCTCGACCATTCTCTGCACAGCTGCCTCGAAGCTTCATTTACTCAGCATGCAGATATGTACGGTGTCGGCATGAGTTGATGCACGTGATAGGTGGACCTCGACACTCGCCCTATGATGCTAGCTTAAACAGGTTCGCAAGCTATGGATAAAGGCCCAGTAGCGGATGGTCCGCGCCTGCTTTAGATCCGCATCCCTCGCAGAAGCCTCTAAACGCAGGAATCGCTCGTTCGAATCGAGCCTGGGCCTTATTAGGGCACTCGACGGTTTTTTTTTGCGCAGCCGTCCAACCTAGCTGTACAAATTCCTTCCTTGGGTTAATAACACTCGAACTTTGCACCTGGTTACCGGAGCTTGAGCCCGGCCCTACCAGTCTGTTTCTGCCGTACAACTTTATGCGTGAGTCTGAAATTTCCTTTCCTTTCCGCCGTTGTGAGTTCAAGTGAACACTACTTATCTACAGTGGCGGCAAAAAGAAATGAGCGGGGTCGTTTGGGCTCAATTGTGGGCCAAATTACTTCAAACAAAAAAGTGGCATGAAGCTAGATGAATTTCATGAACATTTATCCAGTTGAATCTGTCGCTTGTACAGCCTGTTGGCGCACAATGAAATGATTGAATGTTTTCAGAGAAATCAAGTTTGTGGAATCACCTTCAATGTAAAAATGGTTTATACACCTGAAAAGTACTCGCTAAGATGATCATAGTGATATATTGGGTCACCCAAGTTCATGGGGAATTGGGCTCACACCGTGGGGTACAAGTTGGTCATTTTGGGCATTTTTGGCCTATTAATTGGCAAAAATACACAAAGTGGCCAACTTGCAGCAGCCATTCCGAGCCCCAAACACTATCAATTTAGATGAACCTTGGATGAACCAATATATGGCTGGGATCCCCTTTCGGAGTACTTTCACACTGTGCTGACCATTTTTGGATCCCATGTGAATGCCAAAACTCGAATTTCCAGAAACCGGTCAAAGATTTTTTTGTAAGAGAACAAATACAGAAGGTATGGTTTCAGCTCTGCAGTGACTCATGAAATCACCAAAGGTACATAGCCCAATTTTATTCGAAATGATTTGGTGAAGAAGTGAGCCCAAACAGCCCCGCTCATTTCTTTTTGCCACCACTGTAGGTGCGCGGGCTATGAAAGAAGGCCTAGTAGCGGATGGTCGGCCTGCTTCCCTTGTTGGCACTCAAGAAAAGTTCCGAACGCAGGAATCGCTCGTTCGAATCGAGCCTGGGCCTTATCAGGGTCTTCAGAAGTTTTTTGCAGTCCTGCTGCCTAGCCATAAAAATAAAATGCACAACTTTATTTTATTTTTCGTTGGGGCCAATGGCACTAGAACCCTTGATTCCACTCGGACCTCACACTCGTGAGGCAAAATAGACTCCACACGCGCCTATGAGATTTATCACTCTCTTCTCCGTTTGAGCTCAATTGAACGCTACTTATCTAGGTTCACAGGCTACAGATGAAGGCCCAGTAGCGGATGGTCCGTGCCTGCTTTGATTGGTGTCCCTCGAATAAGGCTCTAAACGCAGGAATCGCTCGTTCGATTCGAGCCTGGGCCTTGTTTGGGTTCCGACGCTTCTTTTTGGCGCAGTCGTCCTGCCTAGTAGTACTACTCGTGGATAATACAAGACACTGTAACCTATTTTTCTTTGGAGCTAATGAGACCAGAAGCTGGCACTTGGTTGCTCGTCGTGGAAAATACGCGTTCCCCATGTGTCTCCGATTTGTCGCTGTTGCTCCGCTGTGTGAGCTCAATTAAACGCTAGTTAGCTAGGCTCACAGGCTCTGGATGAAGGCCCAGTAGCGGATGGTCCGCGCCTGCTTCCTTTGGTTGCACTCAAAAAAAGTTCCCAACGCAGGAATCGCTCGTTCGAATCGAGCCTGGGCCTTGTCCGGGTTACGCCACTTCTTTTTCGCGCAGTCTTTTCAAGCGTGAACAATACCCTGCACGGATTTTTCTGGCGGGCTAATGACACCAAGTGTCGTCTCTTTTTTTGTGGTCGGCAGTTGGCCCTCTCATGAATAATGCAAGGCACTGCAACATATTCTGCCTTTTGGTTCACAACACTCGAATTTCGCACTTGGTTGCGGGGGTTTTAGATCATTCCAAGCGCAGGCCCAAAATATTCTTCAGAGCGCTCTTCTTCCGTGCGAGCTCAATTGAACGTTAGTTATCTAGGTGCGCGAGCTATGAAAGAAGGCCCAGTAGCGAATGGTCCGCGCCTGCTGCTCATGATGATCAACCAGTTCAAAACGCAGGAATCACTCGTTCGACTTGAGCCTGGGCCTTGGTGGGGAATCACATTGGCCTTTTTGCACGCAGTCCCCCTACCTCTGCGTAGACGATGCATAGACCCACGGATTTTCCCTTTGGGGCTGGTATTAGAATCGGACACCTGGTTACTCGTGGTGCAAAATACTTCAGACGCCCCTCTGAGATTTATCACTCTCTTCTCGCCGTGTGAGCTCAATTTAACGCTAGTTATTCAGGTTGGCAAGCTGCGGATGAAGGCCCAGTAGCGGATGGTCCGCGCCCGCTGATAATATTCAGATGCTCTTGAAAAGGCAGGGGTTGCTCGTTCGAATCGAGCCTGGGCCTTATATTGTCCTCCGTTCTCTTTTTTCCTCGATGCACAGCGCAAACAAGAAGGGCTACTAAGCACGAGCTTTCACTCCCAAATCTGAAGGTCTTCACTCTACAAGCCCCGGATAGTGAGCAAAGGAACTTGCGAATAAGACTTCGGTTCAGCCGGAATGGCGACGTCCCTCAACCAACTGCTGGCATAATTCGGTTCGCATGTTATGGATGAAGGCCCAACAGCGGATGATCCGCGCCTGCTTCTACTAATGGCGATGTATGAATATCGAAACCCCGAAATTTCTCGTTCGAACCGAGCCTGGGCCTTATTAGGGTCTTCGGCTTCTTTTTTTGCGCAGCCGTCCAACCTAGCTGCACAAATTCCTTTCTTGGGGTTAATAGCGCTCGAACTTTACAGCTGGTTGCCGGAGCTTGAGCCTAGCCCTACCAGTCTATTTCTGCCGTACATGTGCCTTTATACGTGAGTCTGAGATTTCCTCCTCCTTTCTACCGTATGTGCTTCATTGAACACTACTTATCTAGGGTCACAGGCTACGGATGAAGGCCCAGTAGCGGATGGTCCGCGCCCGCTTATAATACTGGAATGCTCTATAAAAGGCAGGAATCGCTCGTTCGACTCGAGCCTGGGCCTTGTTCGGGCAGCGTTGTTTTTTTCCCTGCGTGCCTACTGTATGCGGGACGTGAACTGCGCAGATACGGGCGCAGTTATCATTGTTATTTTCTCCGCCGAGGTGACTCGCGAGGAATACGGAAAATCGTGGTCTGGACTCGCGGTGCGCGGACCCTGGCGTCCAGGCTACCATAAATTTTAACGGGGTCGCAAGGTATGATATAAAGGCCCGGTAGCGAATGGTCCACGCCTACTTCTAATGTGTATTGTTCCATCAAACTTCCAACGCAGGTAGGAATCGCTCGTTCGAATCGAGCCTGGGCCTTAATTGGACGACAGGGTTCTTTTTTCTGCCTAGGCGTAAACGGTGAAGATCTGGGCGCAGACATCATTATATCACCCATGGCCCTGGTATTTAGGCTCATGTCCTGAGGCTAGCATAACATTTTTTGTGCGGTGGTGGCTCGGGAGGAACGCGGGAATGATTGTCTAAACAAACACTCGCGGTGCGCGGACCCCGACACTTTTCGCCCAATACTAATTTAAACAGGTTCGCAAACTATAGATAAAGGCCCTGTAGCGGGTGGTCCGCGCCTGCTTCTAATTATTATTTCCCGAGATTCTAAACGCAGGAATCGCTCGTCCAATTCGAGCCTGGGTCTTGACTGGAATTCGAGGCTTCTTTTTCACGCAATCCTCCCGCCTACTAGTGGACGTTGGATAGATCTGCGAGTCCTTTCTTTGAGGTTAGTAGCACTAGAATGTTACACTTGGTTGATCGTGGTGCCATATACTTGGGACGCCCCACTGAGATTTTTCATATGCATTTCGCCGTGTGAGCTTCATTGAACGCCAATTATCCAGGTGCGCGGGCTATGAAAGAAGGCCCAGTAGCGGATGGTTCGCATCTGCTTCTAATGTAAGTCTCCCCCAAAACGTCTCAAACGCAGGAATCGCTCGTTCGAATCGAGCCTGGGCCTTGTCTGGGTTACACCACTTCTTTTTGGCGCAGTCTTTTCAAACGTGAACAATACAGTATTTAACCGTGAAGTGGAATAGCACGTGGAAATGAAACGCTGTGCCGTTTGCCACCTTGCAGGTTGCCTGTGACCCCAAAATTTTGGGACATTACTCTCCTCTGTATGAGACTCCCATACACCGAAGGATTCGTGAGAAAAGAAATTTTGGCTGGACACGAGAGAGCAGTAAGTGGGAATCCTCGACCATCCTCTGCACAACTGACTCGAAGCTTCATTTACTCAGCATACAGATATGTACAGTGTCTGGATGAGTTGATACACGTGATAGGTGGGCCTGGACACTCGTCACGGTCCGATGATTCTAGTTCAAACAGGTTCGCACGTTATGGATGACGGCCAGTAGCGGATGTCCGCGCCTGCTTTAACTGGTGTTCCTCGAATAAGTCTCGAAATGCAGGAATCGCTCATTCGAATCGAGCCTGGGTCTTATCTTTGAGGTTTCGGGCTTATTTTCTTCAAGTCCTCCCGCCTGAGGACTCGGACGTTGAATAGATACGCGGATCTTTTCATTTCGAGCGTGAACAGCGGAGATATCATCCTGATTCCTGCTGTCTGCATAGATCGCTGCAACCATTGTGACCGCACAAGCGAGAACGCAGAGGTCCTGAGATGATATTCTGTGCTTACCAGAGTCGCAAGCGGTGAATGAAGGCCCAGTAGCGGATGGTCCGCGCCTGCTTCTAATATAGGTCTCAATTGCATTATAACTGCAGAAGCCGCTCGTTCGAATCGAGCCTGGGCCTTGCACGGAAATCCGAGACTTCTTGTTCCACAGTCCTCCGACCTAGCTCCACGGGATTCTTTCTTGTGGGGTTCACGATACTCGAATTTCACACCTGATCGCTTCTGGGTCGCTTCGGCTTGAGCATATCCCAAGCGGCGCTGCAACAAGCGAGGTACGAGCTTCAAGTTGAAGCGTCTGTCTAAGAGAGACTAGGGCTGGCTCGGGGCCCAAATATCCTCTCCATACACCTTTGGGATTTTTCTTGCGGTGCTCAATCAAAAGTAGGTACGCAGGCATAGATTAAGGGACCAGAGCCTGGCGCAATGATGTAACGCCTGGATGAAGGCCCAGTAGCAGATGGTCCGCCTCTGCTTATCATATGACGTTCTCTTGAGTCCAAAGGCAAGAATCGCTCGTTCGAATCGAGCTTGGGCCTTACGAGGCTTCTTTTTGGCGTAGCGTCCTGCCTAAACAATGCGGATGTTTCTTTGGGGTGGATGGCACGAGAGCTTCACACTTTGGTTGCTTGAGCTGTGGCCCATTCCCAACGCGTATGGTCCGCGCCTGCTTCGCTTGGGGGTCCAAAAAAGTTCCAACCGCAGGAATCGCTCGTTCGATTCGCCTTGGCCTCGAATATGTCGACTCTTTTCCTGCCTAGCGTAGGCAGGGACATAAACATAAAATGCGCAATTGTACTTTATTTATTCGTTGGGGCCAATGGCACTAGAACCTCACAGTTGGTTGCTCATGGTGAAATATACTTCACACGCGCCGCTGAGACTCTTTCGCCGTGTGAGCTCAAGTGAACACTTATCTAGGCTCACAGGCGGATGAAGGCCCAGTAGCGGATGGTCCGCGCCTGCTTTGAATTGGTGTCGCTCAGATAAGTTTCTGACCGCAGGAGTTGCTCGTTCGACTCGAGCCTGGGCCTTACGTCCGTCTCCGTGATTTTCTTTTTCCCTCGATGCACAGTGCGTAGAAAAAGAGGCCAGTAAACGCGCGCGTTCACTCCCGAATCTGAGAAGGTCTTCACTCCTCTACAAGCGTTGGATACCAGGTAAGGTAACTTATGAGGGAGACCTCGGTTCAGCCTGAATGGCGACATCCCTCAACCAACTACTAGCATAATTCGGCTTGCAAGCTACGGATGAGAACCCAGTAGCGGATGGTCCGCGCCTGCTTCTGGTACTGCGCGGGGAGAGATTCTGACGCAGGAGGTTGCTCGTTCGAATCGGGTCTGGGCCTTATTCTGGAGATTCGGTTGTCTTCTTTTTGGCAAGTCCTCCCGCTGGAAAATGGATGATGCATGCGCGGGTTTTTCCTCCGAGCGAATGGCAAGATGGCCGTCCACTTGGTTGCTCGTGACACCCAGCTCTGAATTTACTTTTGCCTTTGGCCTAGGTTCATTGAGTGCTAGTTCTCCAGGACCGTAAGCTATTCACGAAGGCCTAGTAGCGGATGGTCCGCGCCTGCTTATAATGGTGATCAAGTAAACTTCTAAACGCAGGAATCGCTCGTTCGAATCGAGCGCGGGCCTTAACTCAGTCTCTGCGATTTTATTTTTCCCCCGATGCACAGCGCACCCACAAAGAGGCCAGTAAGCACCAGCGTTCACTCCCAAATCTGAAGGTCTTCGCTTCTCTACAAGCGCCGGATAGCGGGCAAAGAAACTTGCGAGTACGACCTCGGTTCAGCCTGAATGGCGACATCCCTCAACCGACTGCTGGGATAAATCAGTTCGTAGGCTACAGATGAAGGCCTAGTAGCGGATCGTCCGCGCCTGCTTCTAATACGTGGTACGTCAAACCAATCATCTAAAGGCAGGAATCGCTCGTTCGAATCGAGCCTGGGCCTTAATTACAACTTCCACCACTTCTTTTCCCCGCAGTGGACCTACCAAGCCACACGGATTCCTTCCTGTGGGGTTCACGACACTCGAATTTTACACCTGGTTGCTTGCGCCTGAGCTCATTCCAAGCGCGTTTGTGTCGGGCCCAAAATATGCATCTCTGGGATTTTTCTTGCGGTGCTCTCAAAGCTAGGTTCGCAAACTATGAAGGAAGGCCCAGTAGCGGATGGTCCGCACCTGCTTCGAATGGGTGGTCTTCCAATAAGTTTCGAAACACAGGAGCCGCTCGTTCGAATCGGGCCTGGGCCGTGTTCGGTGGTCTTCTTGTTTGTTTGTTGTTTTTTGTCGGCAGCTTTCCTAGCTGCACGGATTTTTAATTGGGCCAATAGCACTAGAACCGTGCACTGCACTCGTTGGCTGGGCTTGAGCCGGTCCCAGCCATGTGTTTGACTCGGGACGCAAAATATCTTTCAAATGCGCCTCGGAGTTTGAACGCTGATTTACTTGGTCTGACTTTGGAGACGAAGTTTAAGCAGGCTCGCACGGGCTACATTTTACCCTCCAGCGATCTTCCTTCTACGGGTTCTGTAGGATAGACGCCATCGAGAGAAATTAACGCGCCGTGCGGGCCAAGCAGAATGATTCTAAATCGACAATGACTTCGCCACAAGGCCACCTAAGGGAGTTAGAACGAACATACAAAGTCGGCGAAGGCTGGTGAGCAGTTCGAGATTAGACACAGGCGACGAGATAATTTATCGGAGCAACTGGCGAATGGTAAAGCAAGCATCTATCGGCGTGCGTCATTGGCAACGGTCACGATTCCGCTGACCCTGCAAGGTACTCGGAGAGCCCGAGGATCCGTTGGGTCCGATTCGTGAGACGATCCGCCTATAGATGGAGTGGGAAAGACGCGGGGCGGGAGCGAGGATCGATGCGGGTGTGGGATCGAGAAGAGAGAAAACCCCGCGTGGTTTTTGGCGCGTCGGCGCGGATATAAGGTCCGAAGCGCGTGCGTGGCCGTCGGCGACGGAAGCCAGCGAAGGACAGCGCGTGAGAGGATACGCCCCGACACGTGCGCGGAGCTCCGTGCGCACCAAAGGGAGACAATCTAACCACGACGGGATCGATGTAAGGAGCGTGGGGAGGCCCACTAACAAATGCCGAAGATATAGAAGGACCTACCGGAGGATCTGAGGGGTGCGAACGCGGGCGGGATCTATTCGGTGTAGGTGCGAAGGTTCACCGCTGGGAGAGTGGGGCGCGATTGGCACGACCGCGGGGCCGCGGCAGAAGTCTGAGATGAACGAAATCCTGGAGCGCAACTGGTTGGGCGGAGGATAGCTTCAAGTCGTTCAGGAGCCCGGGCGTTGGTTGTCTTGGAGGACAAGGATATAACAGAAACGGAACACACGCGGAGAATTGCATAGGAATTGGTAAGGACGACGGTCGGTGGGGGAGGTCCTTCGGTTGCACGGTAATTGGCGGCGAGGGAATCGACCACTCCTTGGGTAAAGTGTTAGCCCTTGGAACGTAAGATATAAAATAGTTAAATCACTACTGCGATCAGGAATACGTCCTGTGTTTGCCTGCGATCAGGAATACGAATACGTCTTGTGCTGCAGGCTGTGCATGCTCCAGAAGTTGTCCAGAAGTATTCCGCTAGTCAGACCAGGAGTGAAAATTGAAAATAACAGAACCGGAATATATTCTAGGCCCTGTAGAACGAGACTGAAGGCATCCGGCCGACAGTCGCAAACGCATGACAGTAATCTTGCGGGGCTGGCGCCGAGCGAGCTCCAGCGGTATGAAAAGGTTGTTTAGGCGCGGAGGTCTATCGTGGCCATCGTTTGACCGGAATAACTCCAGAAAGCAAAGTGTTTGCTGTGACGAGGCTTCCAGGGATTGTGCAGTGAAACTTGAAGGTAAAAGACTGTCACGGGGTAACACAAGATATGAATCCTTGATCGGATCAACCTTAGGATCAACTCTCTTTTTGTCACCACCTCACCTCGAATTTGGGATAGCGCTGGATCTTATTCTGACCCTTCTCCATGTCCTTCGATTATACACTGACTCTGGCATGCCAGTACCTACCTTCCGATTCGTTGATTTGACGTCCAAGTCTGTCTTGATTCCGACAAAACTGCCTCCGATGCGGCGATGCTTCCTCAAACATGCCTTGGGCGGTGGCTACTCGTACCAACCTACTGCGGAAGCTTATTCTTCCCGTCTTGACCCCCTGGCCCCTCGGAATTCTTGGATTCTTCACCCGAGGGCCGTGATTGCCATCTTGGCATCGTTGCATCCTTCGACTCCGACAGAGGGCCCATCTCGATTCCCTCAGATCCCACCGGCACGGATAAGTGCTCACCTGCAGCCATCCTCGGCCTGTAACTGCACATCTCTCGCGCATTTATCTCCCTTCCGAGCATTTTCGGATGATTACGAACCCCTGTATGACTATGAGTCCAAAATATGTCGCGGTCCCGGGCGGCGGAAATTGTATCACCTCTCGGGATGACGATAACCCTTATCGAAAGATATTGTGGTCCGTCGTCCTCTTTGCCCATACGCCGCGTCTGACCAGGTTGTGCAATACCGCAAGATATGCGTCACGGATTGTTTTGTATTCCTTTGACTGACTTGGGCAAGATTACTGCCCCAGTGAGTGCTCGAAGTCGGTGGGAATGAAACTGTTGCTCCCGTCGTGCGCAGTGAACTTATTCCTGGAGAGTAAATGTGACAGCGGGCGGCGTCTTCACTGAATGGTCGCCACGGCCGACGAACTGCAGGTACGGCTATCAATCAACCTCCAGTGTACGGTTTACTGATCTCCATCGAACCCTTTCCCAGCAATGAATATGGCAACTAAATGCTCCATCCAGAACTAAATGTGATCCATCTTCGTAGATCTTTCCCCCCGTTTTCGCATGTTCCAACCCAGTGCCCAGAACCCCGCCGAAGAATTCGAAGCCATCGTCCCAAGGAGAACACGAGTGTCTCTGGCTTGTGTGCGGTGTCGCAAACGGAAAATCAAGGTGAGCCATCCGGTGTCTACGCTTTGGGCCCACCCCAAACCCCCCTTCCCACCGATTGAGCAGTGCGTCACCAGTGAAGGATCTCCGCCTGCCCCTTGCACGCGGTGCGCACGCCGGGGTCTCGCGTGCGAATTCCTCTCTGTCGGCCAGGAGCGGGCCCAATCCACCTCTGTATCTCCAGGAGGAAGGCCCTCCCCAGCATCCCCTTCCTCAGCTCCGCATATGGCCCGACTTCACGGCAGCCACAGATTCGACGAGCCGGTGCCAGGCCCTTCAAAACCGAGTCCGCACCCACCATCCGACAGGTCACATCTAGACGAGGTCGATATCTTGCGCGGCGATGTCAAGCTCTTCACTCCATTTGAACAGAGAAATCGGCCCTCTCCTCCGTCCTTGCATGCAAATGTACCAAATGAAACACATTGGTACGGGGCCATGTCGGATCAGCGGCTCCACACACTCGCACTGGGAGTCCCTCCGGCGACTGGATTGTCTCCCATGCAGCCTCCCGCCGCCAATCATACCTACGGCTCCCGACACTTGGGCTTCGAACCTCCATTTCAGCCATGGCAATCAAACCTCCATTCTAGGCATGTACCATTCCCTCACCTCTCTCTGAGACTCACGGAATCGACAGGCGTTGTGTCTGCCCTCCGGGCCCTTGCTACTGCGGCGGAATGCGATAATAGAGCCCAAGACGCGAGCGTGGTTATTTAACGAAGCGTGTTGTCTTCTGAAATGGCTGAATGCAACGTGTCGGTCAAGTAATTCCAGCTCTCTCGGATTATCCTTAGTCTCATAAACAGACACTTGGACTAGACGAAGCTTGGAGATTACTTATTGAAAATGATTACATGTGTTTGTTTAGGCTCGAATGATATGCTAATAGAGACTATTGAGAAACTGACGCTTAATTTAATTGTTTTCTCCTCCTTGAGAAACCATTGGGCATCCCGGATGATGTGAGGGGAATAATCAAAGTATGTCAAATGCCGAAAGTTCAATACTTACGGCCCTTCAATCCCAGCCCGCATAAATGCCCACTACCTTTAGTCAGTGGGTCCTGATGAGCCCTAATGGTGCAGAGCGTCCGCCAAATTTTGAACTCTCCCATGACAAACAGAGCCAAAAATGAAATTCTCGCTCCTCATTGGCTCTTTGTTCGGCCTTGAGGGTGGATGTAACTTACTAAGGGCCGGACTTGAAGTGAAGTGGATCCTCCTTCATACCGGGTCAACGGCGGAATATCGGATGGAGAGTGTTGCCTTCCTGGAATGTGGAGATTCCGTGCGCCGGAAATGGATGCCGAAACTCCGACAATCGGCTAGACTTTCCAGCACGCCGAAACTTCAGTAACGTTCGATTTCACCAGTGCATCCTGCTAAGAGTTCTCCGGAAACCGATCGTCTCAGGAGACAGATCAGGGGCCGTTGAAGAATTAATCTTCTGTTCAATTTTTGGCAGCGGCGCCGAACGTGGCAAGAAGCCGGCCGGTTCGGAGCACCCTAAGCTGATTGGGCGCCTCCCGAAACTGTGGCTGGTGTCTTTCACAATTATACCACTAGACAATGAATTAAAGCTCAGAGTTTCGAACATTACCATTACAGACTCTTTACGTATTCCTGGGTGTTTACGTTAAAGACCATTCTCGAAAGCCAAGGGCAACAAACGCGAGACCACTTGCTTTAGTACTGTATTATCTTTCACCGTACAAAGAGCGAAACAATGTGGCGATTTCTGTCAATGGGCACTGATGGTTATGGAGCAGGAGCTATGCTAATTTAGCCCCAGACTCGCCTCTATACCTCCGGCCCCGACAAAGTCGGGGCTTTCGGGCCCAACTCGAGCTGGTCGATCTGTCGACCGAGCGAGAATTGGGCCCCATTTTAGGGTGTGATCACCTCATTATTTCAAGTCACGAAATACCCTACAAGCGGAGTCACCAACGCTATGGACATATTCAACATGAGGTGCAAACCTCCTAGTTGCAAGTAGTTGTGTTATGTAAACGAGGTACAAGTTTGGTATGAGCTTCGCATATTGTAGCAACTTTCGACCAGAGACTATGGCTGTCAACCAAGCAGGGTATTACATACCCACAATCACAGGTGTGATTACACAATTTGCATTTCAGTATGCTGTAATCCTACTAGTGGGCTCTGCCGCAAAGCGTGCTACAATAGGGTGTTTCAGAATTAGAATTTAGGGTCCAATCGTGCCCCAACTCGGATCCTCAACTTGAGCCAAGTTGAGGCACGAAATCGAAGT